ATCTTCCAGGCTGAATCAAATTCTGCCCTTCCCCACAAGAAATATGACATTTTTCAGTATGTCATCCTCTCCGCTTAAGAACTTTAAATAGCTCCTTGCTGTCGAAAGGATAAAGTTTAAGCCCTTATAGTTTGGCATTCAAGGTTCTTCACAATCTGTTCCCAGCCCCCTGCTGTACAATTCTCCCCTCTAAATCACTAGCGACCCGTCGCTTCCCCCATGTTTGTGGCTCCCTATGTCCATGCCTTTGCTCAAGATGGTCCTCTGCCTGAAGTTTCTTTCATGTTGATCTTGGGATGACCAATGCAGGCCCAGGACTTGGCACATATTTGGGATTTAGAAATATTAACTAAGTAATGAAAGTGTAAATATGACAGACATCTGAAAACCAAATTGATGTCTTTCATAGTTTGGCCTAAAGTGAAGCCCGTAAAAATGATTCAACCAGGCCAAGTAGTATAGGTGCCAGTGGGGACAGGATTTTTCTTTGATGCTGATACATTGTTTTCATCTTTCAGTGCTTTGGTGCTTCTATATTTAATGTTCAAATGTTTCCTTCTTCCCCTAAAAACGTGTTTTTAAGTCTCTCTTACAACAGATGGCATTCTAAAATTAAGGAAGTACAGTGAGTGGCATCCATTGGCTCCTTCGTGGCTCCATCAGGGTCAGTGGCTGTAGAGAGTACATCCACCCAGACCATTCACCAATACTCTAGCCCCTCTAAGGCTCTCTGGTCCTTAGTGCCCCCTTGCTTTGTGGCTCATTACGACACAAGATGATGGAGACAGAAAATATAACTCCACTGAATAGGAGATTGCAATGTAACATGGAAGACAGCTTCAGAATGAATGAAGAACAAAAAATACCTGCGTGGCGAAGTAGCCTCTTGCAAGCCATTAACCGGCTCTCCCGCAGACCCCTTGGTCCCCAAGTTATCTCCCATGATCTCCCACAGCTAGGACTCTTCTAAATATTATAAACCTCAAGTCTGATCTATTCTCTGAAACCATAGTCTTACTTCTCCTTTCTCTCTTCCTTTGGAAATCTAAAAAGGACCCTGGTCTTGTGACACATCTCTGTCCTCACCCCCGCAGTGTCACCCAGAGATGAACTATACACCCTCTTTCGTTATGCATCAACACAGCTTGTCAGGGCTCCTGGCATAAGAGGTGGCACTACCTCTTCCTGATTAATAACCACTCATTATTATTAGTAGCAAGTATCATCCATCCCCAAACACTCCACCCAGTGTCATCCTCTCCCTCCAAAGCGAGTGCAGCTTCACTAGAGAGAGGGTGAACCAATGATGCTCACTCAGCCTGAAGCACTGATGTAGCTCTTGAATGGCTGTTCTTACTCCTGGCAGATACGGGACTGTGCTATGTACCCTCTTCCGCAGAATCTAGCCCAAGGTCACAGCCAGTGGAAGAAAAAGGCCAGAGCCAAGTCTATTTGCAAATTTTCTCAAAATACCTGCCTGAACAACTGCAATCTATTCACAACTTTAAAAGCTACATTTAATGGATGTACTGTATTCAATTTTCTATGTCTTCTCAATCACTCCCTCTGTCTTAAAAAGTACAATATAGGAAGGAATACGAGGAGGACCCATTGTGGGACCCCAGAGAGGACACCCAGAGAGGAGGAAAGTAAAGTTGGGTTAACAAGAATTGAGCTATCTCTGCCTACTCTAGGCTCCACCTTTGAACCCCACCCCCCGCCCCATGCATGCCTATATTAAGCCCCTTCCAGCCCCTCTCACTGTGCCTTCCTGACAGAGAGAAAATGAACACTGTTCTTCTCCCACTCACCCTAATGTTACAAACACTGACTGGACACCGTCTGCTTTGAGTCTTTTTGTAAAAGGCACATGATAAGAAACACATGGCTTACACAGGTCCTTTGGTTAATCACAGGTGATCAGTACCGGCTGGACAGTGGCAGGATACTCCGTGGTGCTGGAGAACCGAGTGGTGAATGGAATTTTGAATTGTGAGTCATTATACCTGTAGTTGTGATGTGTAGAAGGCCTGCAACAATGTGATTCAGTGCGGCGGGCAGTGAAAACCTGCATGTACTTGTCGAGCCGCAACCCGGGATTGTGCAAAGAGGTTTCACAAAGCACCCTAGTGATGATGCAGGAGGTGACGTGAGCTCGGCTGGCCACGGTCACCAGGTTTAAATTCCACACTTTATAGCTACCTCTCTGCATGGCTGAAATGTTTTATAAAAAACTTGGGGCGGGGCAGGAGGAATGACAGACACTAATTCTCTGTAAGACAAAGTATTTCAATATTTCACCACTGGCCTTATTTCCAGAACACTCTATCCATTTTTGTTGTATGAGAACAATCGATGCAAAAACAACAAATATCTACAGAATATGCTGAGACTTGTTAAAAAGTTGGACAATGCATATCATTTTCAAGGTATCTGATTAGTGTACTGGCATAGCATGGCTCTCTTATCCATCACTACTCAATCACAGTTCACTTTCTTTAAAAAAATAACTATGGTATGAATTTTCAAAGACTGTATTCCATGGACCAAGAGAAAAAAAGAGAATGCCAGGAGACTGTTGTCTTTTTTTTTTTAGCATAGTTTTGAGAGGCATTCAGGGTAAATCATGCAGGAACCTCGTACAATAAACAAGCACATACATTACAGAGTTACATCATCAGCTGACATCCAAGGAGAAGCCAAAGGTTAATTGCTATGGCTTACTGTATCATTCCAAGTGACCTCGTGCAAGAAGATTTAGCTTGACAACTGTTTGAACTTTCCAGTCTGAAATTTCATCTGCTTGTTTCTTGAGTACTTTCTCATTACTCCCCTGGGGATATTAATATTGTTTTCTTTTTTTTAATTACTCTCTAGAAAGACTGGTGGTTTCATGTTTTCCCCCTTCTTTAAAACTAAGTTCCTACCTGACTAGCCAGGGACATTCATTTTCTTTACCTTAAGTCAGTGATTTTCAACCTTTTTCATCCCATGGCATGCATAAACTAATTACTAAAATTCTGCGGCACACCACAAAATACATTATATTTTTTGCCGATCTGACAAAAAAAAAATAGGTATAATTTTGATATGTTCACACCAGATGGCTACTGTGTTGGCTGCTGTCATTTTTTTCTTTGACAGCCTAAGGGAAAAGAGGTCCGTGCCCCTGGCTAAACAGTCAGGTGTTGCATGTTTTAAAGATTCTTGTGGCACACCGGCTGAAATCACTGCCTTAAGTAATTAAAGGAGAAAACAAACATCAGGATAGACCTTTAAGAGCTCAGGCTGTGGAGTCAGACGGCTTGATTCAGATTCCAGCTCACCATTTGGCCAGTTATGTGACAATGAGCAGGTTATTTCAATCCCGAGGGCTCAGTTTCCTCATCTCTAAGGCACAGATAATAGTAATGAGCTCTTGGGAGATCGACTGGAAGGACTGAAATAGCTAATACATGTAAATAGTTACCTCAGAGCTTAGCAGATGGCAAGCACTCAAATAATATGGGTTTAACACTATTTTTGTTTAAATAGTATTCTTTTTTAAAATCCTCACCCAAGGATATGTTTTTATTGATTTTAGAAAGAGGGGAAGGGAGGGGGAGGAGAGAGAGAGAAACATCAATTGGTTGCCTCCCGTAAGAGCCCCTGACAGGGGTTGGAACCCGAAACCTAGGTATGTGCTCTAACCAGGGATTGAGGCCACAGCCTTTTGGTGTATGGGACACTCCAACCAACTGAGCCACTGGGCCAGGGCTAAATAGTATTGTTTCTACAAGGGGGACAATTGGGAAATGTGTTCTCTGACTCCCTGGGAAAAAGGTGGAAACGAAGTAGGAATAATAACAAACCTACTTTCATACACAACTCTGTGCCCGAGGCTGCAGCACCATTTCCTCTGCACATAACTCACCAGCCTGAATTCACTGAGCACCTTCCTTCGCAATTAACAGGGCAAACAGTGGGTGCCATTCAGAATACACAAAAGCAGTTGTGCAGCACTGTCTCCAGGGAACTGACAATCTGGTTAGGAGAGGACACACACACACACATGCACACGAGATAACTGTCTTATGCTGCCTTGTTAAATGGCCAGATGCATGTTCGGGTTCTTATAGCATCTTTTTTGCTGGGCAGAAAGAACCCTGCTTTGGCAGAAAGGGACAAATGCGCGGAGATTTGCTCCAAAGTAAGAGGGTAGATGAGTGACAGCTGCAGAATAAGGCTGGGATATCATACTCATTTGTTTTAAACTGGAGGCAGTAACCTCATTAAAGGAGGGGAACAAAGAACCAGTGACAGCAAACAGGGGTGCCTTGGCTTTGCAAGGCCACCAGAAGCGCAATCATAGAATCTGAAAATGTTCGTTGAGAGGAAACCTTAAAAAAAACCTCAATGTGACTCAATCCTCTCACAGTCGGGACAATGACTTGTTCTTACAGGTGTGGACACCTCTCAGGCACCTCCACGGCGGCCCTTCCCGCTGGACCTCTCAGGTCTGCCAGAGGGCGGGGAATTCAGGGGTAAGGGCGAGGCCAAGGGTATCCCCAAAAGGGGATAAGTGACGGATCACCACCACCTATGAAACAATCCTAAACCGCGTCCATCTCTCAGTTCTTCCTTTAAAATCGCTCCCACCCCAAACTGATGGGCATCACAGTCACAAAACACCAAAAATCAGAAATCCTGCTGTCCCATGTCCAAATCTGCCCCAGCCGCTTTCTCCCTGGCCTACCGGCCCAACCACAGGTGGCCTCCAGGATTAACCCTGCGAGGTCCTCTGCCTTCCCAAAGCGTCAGCGGGTCATTCTTCTCCGGCCACTTTTAGGCGCAGGGAAGGACTGAGGTCCTCGGGACACAGCCTAAGCCTGCCGCCACCGGGACGCGCGCGGAGTTGGGGCGAGGGTCTGGAGGCTTGCCCGACCCCCAGCCGCATAAGTCGTTCCCGGGCGGCCCACAGAGCCGACCACACCCCGGCCCGCGGGCATCTCGGCGCTTACCTTGGCCCAGGAGACGGTGTAGGGGACCCGCAGGTCCCGGGGGGCGGTGCAAGGCAAATCCACAGTCTCTGAACAAGCCACGTTCACTTCCCGCGCTGCTGGCGCCAGGCTGCAGGCTGCAAGAGGGACAGAGACAGCGGCGTGAGCAAGCGGGGAAACGGGGTGTCGTGGGGAACCGGGGCGCGACAGGCGGTCTGGGGCCCTACCGCAGCTCAGGAGCAGGAGCTGGAGGCCGCGCGACATGGCTGGGGAGTGCGGGCTCGTGGCGCGCCGGCGCTGCGCCGCGCTCTTGTACCCGCGCGCCGGGACTTCCCCCCGCGCCGGCCCGGGGGAATCCCCAGGGGAGGGCC